AGTCGGCATCATCAGTGAGTTTTGCCATTCGCCGCACCAAGCTACGAACTCGTCAAAGAGACAAGACTTGGAATTGGTACATTTCCAGATGTTTAACCTGCATCGTCAGTGAGCCTTGCCATTCTTAGCACCACACTACAACTCGTAAAAGAGACAAATGAAGTCGATCCTTTGATCAGTTATCTGCTAAACAGATGCATATCTCATTATGTCTTAATTTATTCACCTATCTTGTATCCTTTTAACAGCCCTTCAGTCACATTTTTTTACTTAAAGATGAGGGATGAGGGAGCCATCGGGTAATGTATGATACCGGCAAAGCGTCCGGGAATTTACCAAGTTCAAGATCCAACTCTGGAAATTATCATTCATTTTATGCACTCCGGACAAGGGGCTTTCTTCTCGATATCCTTGACAATATGACCATTTTGCGAATACAACGAATGAAGACTTAGACGATGCTAAAGGCCACACGATCTTGACCTTCATACCTTGGCTTAAGTGGTTATTTTAATGCTTTCTATGTTGAAATTTATGCTTTCTAAAGGCTGGTTTATTTGGATCTCACTTGTTGACTTATAGCTTTTTATTTACTCACTTTAATAGCTGGATACTATCACTGAACGAAATACCGACAGAGGAAGGGCAGCGGATGCGCAAGGTCGTTTTCAAGTCACTTGTGGTCATTTGTCAAGAGTGCTCGCGTCACAGCTGATTTTGTTTCAAAAATATTTTTTTCCTATATTCATGACCAATTAAATACCATTGAGTAATCTTGCTTTTTTATCCCTGATTCAGAGGGCAATTATGATTGTAGATAGTCTACAGTCGTCGATTTCGTTCTTGACATATTTACAAATGCGTTTACATGGTCCGCTTGACCCATTGGAGCGTGGCACTATCTATTTGGATGGGATTATACACTGAGATGCCTTATGCAGAGATGTAGGCTATGTGGATTTGGTGGCTTCGTTTAAGGATTTATTCTAAGGAATGGAGTTTGCATAGTCTTCAACCCATCTTCACCAACTTAACCCCACTCTCTACATCCTGTCTTTTGTGTGAATCTCGCGATTAGGAGAACCTGGCGGTTCAGCCAGCCTTCATCAGAATACCGCTGCCCGGGCCTCTACGTACACGGCGGACTCGCCAAATGGGCCGGGCGGCGGCAGCTACGTGATGCATGGGGCGGCTGCTGCCTACGCGCTGGCCAGCCAGCTGGGCACCATGTCGTTCGATAATACCGCGGTCGCCAGCCAGTCCCAGGCGGGAATGCCCAGCAATATAATTCAACCCCAGTACTATCATTACCTCAACCAACCACCACAACAGCTCCAGCATGGATGTAACCAAACTGGTCTTGTTTTTCAGGTGAGACGGTCTGGTGGTGGGTCACAGGGCAGATATGACCTTCAAGACAAACAACTCTCTCATATCACATTTATAGTGGGAATCTTGATTGGGCAAACTTGTGCTTGCCTTTACAATCGACGATATTACTTATATCCATGTAGATTATGTTTCTGCCTTTGCCGGAATGACGCCCTTACATTGTACTTCGATTACGAAAGATTAACTTTTATGCTGGACATGAATTCGGTGGACAGCACTTTACTCAGCATTAACCCTAAACCTATCCTCCAAAAGGCATGGGATAATTCACTACCATCTGATAACATTAAGAGTTTGGCCTCAGTAGAGGACATGGTCATCTAGATCGGTAACTCGAAGCATGACAGATCTAATTCCTTACTAGCTGTTTATCTCGTGCCTCAGAAATAGAATACTTAAGACGACCTTAGTACGTTCAAATCAGAACTTTATGCTTTTTGTTATGCATTGGCAAATTCAATAATCCTGTAAGGGCAATCAAGTTTTCGTTATTCATTGTCTGCCTTTTCTTTCTATCATAATTGGTAGACTATATAGCTGCATTACTCGGGCAACAAAACTAAAGGGTTTCTCAAATGCCGGCTAAACGTCTGGAAATGTAGTAAGTCCACGTTATGACTCGAAATGATCATGTATACTATAGACTCCGGACAACGTGCGTTCCTCTAGGTGTTCCTGACAGTACGACCAAGTTGCGAAAACAAGGTCAAACATTTATATAACAAAAGGAGATAATAAAAGGACTGATAATTGAAGTCCCACAGTGAAGCAATCCATAGGCTCCTCAATGCCACTAAAATGCACCTATGTTACCCTCCACAATGGTTTGAGCATTCACACTAACTAGAATTTCAACCAGCTGAGTTTCAGCTCCTATAACAAGATTTGAAACTGGTCCCTGCACGTCAAGGGTAAACGTTACCACGTAATCACTGCCAAGGGCTCCTGTGAGTCACAGCCGATATGATTCTTAAGGTTCTGATGAGACCCAAGTGGGGTTAAAACTGGAATTTAGTCAGCATTTTGGATTCAAAACTAATTGAAATTTAATGGCTTCGTATGAGGTCTTCTACAAATCTAATATAAACTCAATCTTCCATTTACCCAGCGAACATCTAATTCCTATTTATGATCTGATTCTTTCGAGATCTGCTTGTTTGGTATAGCTATATTTATGAAAATTTTTTATCCGCCTCCAGATTAACTCGTTCTTTCTGAACACTTGTATTGGAATGCTTAATTTAATTATTATCATTCCTATTAACAGGAGAAATATGAAATTGCATGCCTTCAACCTCCGCTTCTTTTTTTATATTGTCACCATTCTTTAATGTGTGAAGGTTGAGTCAACTTATTTTTTTATTAATTTTATTCTGTTTAGGTACATTGATTTAAGAGCAGTCTTGATTTTACTAGATAATTCCATTCTGTCATAGCTAATTTAGGTTTTTACCTCATCCTCACTTACCAAAGAAGTAAAAGCATGAGTTATGATATCAGACAATTATTTTGACCCCAAGTATCTGGAGCTATTGGATTACAAGATAAGCATTTTATTTATCGATAATGCAGACTTACTCAGTTGATAGTACATTTAGATCCAGGCGAAGATAAAATCGCAATTAAATTCTTAGATTATAGTCATTATAAGATTCTTCTGCAAAAGCAAGTCTTCGTTTTGCCGCGGAGAGACCGAATT